ACCGACATTTCAGCAGTAAGCAAAAGCAGCACCGACGCCAAAGCAGGAAACGACAAAATAGACAACTTGACAACAAACAACAGATTTAACAGAACCTGATTTATCAATTCCCGATTTCTAGACAAATCACCAGAGGAAAAATGCGTGACAATAATCACACCGGAAAGAGCGTGACATTTTAAATGAAACAGGAGCAATAATTCCGAGATAAATTGTTAATGAATGCATGCTGCGAATTAGGAATAAGTGATATTTTTTTTACAAAGTATAGATAGATTATGGCTACAGCAACAAGAGAACGTCTACTTCTACAGACAAACTGCTTTTGAAACATGCGTATTGCTACATTCAAATTTAAATTATACGTGAGCTGCAAATTAGTTCGTTGACCTGTAAATGTAACATTAAATGTTCGGTTACCAGCCTCCTTATTTGTACTGTTAATATTATTATTCCATACCTCGCTAGAGAGCTATGACGGTCATTTCTTCAGCAGGTTTACATTCTTTTTCTTCGTTCAACACTTGTACTTTTACGGTCAGTAGTTCATGTATGACCACTTTTAATCCCGGCCATTTTCTCAATGATTCTCAACAACGAGGCCCTATCAGGCGGTTAAGGTATCTGCCGTTCCAGAACGCACTTTTACCATATCACAGTGACACATAATTTTGAGTTGACAGTTATTTAAAAATATTCGCCTTCTTCTACAATCGGTACCTATTTCCTGCTCCTATTTACTCCTGAGAAAAATCAGCAGTTTTGTTGGCGGTTTGGTTTGAACAGCGCAACACCAATGTAATATGAGCACGAGAAAACTAAATTAAATCATGTAGCAAACATCGCTCGATAGCTAAACCAATCATGTTTCAACACAAGGTTGATCAAGCTAAACCAATCATGTTTCAACAAGATATTGATCAAGGTTACATTAAGCATGGCGAAATGTTTCACCCAGCATATGTTAGCCTGCGAAAACAGCCGTTTCTCCTCGCTCTTCGTCGCTGGAGACGTTTCGCGAGGAGGAACGTCTGCGACTTAGCGACAGAAATTCCATAGTGATGACGTACATCAATGTTTACATAATAAATCCGGTAGGTATGGCTTTCCAAATGCAAATTGGTTCAATTTTACGTTTCTCCTGGTCGATTTTGGTAAAGTGTTGTGTTCATCTGCGAACGTGCTCCAGGAAAACTCAAATATTTCTTTCTATAAGAATATATTCCACAAATATTGACTGATTTTTTATACATTCATCGCGTTTACATTTGACCTTTGTAGCCTTTTGTCTTTTGTCTGCCGTTCGTAAACAAGAGATAAAACAATGTAACTACTCAGTCGTAAAATAAGCGCTTATTACCGGATCCGGACAGATTTTACGTTATAAGTATGGAATTCCTGTCGCTGAGTCGCAGACCGTGTTCGTCCTGGCGAAACGTCTCCCAACGGCGATGAGCGAGGAGACTTCCTTCAGTTTCTTTATTCGTTTTAACGGCCCGTACAGCTGCTTCATTTTCAGCTAATTGTGCACGGACAGCGCGAGTCAAACAAATGCGCCGATCAATCCCCCGGGGCGGGGAGGGTACTGCCATATATGGGCTATATAGGTATGTGCCTCTGTGAAGGGTATGGTTTTCAAGCAGTTTACTCTAGGATAGGGTATATAAATCAGAGCGTTTGGGTCTAGAATAGGGTATATGTTTTTTGGAAACTGATCAGTTGGTTGAAGATTTTATCTAGACTAGGGATTGTGGTATAAGGTTTTGTTTTGGTTAGACTTTCCTAGTACCTTCAGTAGTTTCTGGAAAACAGGGGGGGATTTGGGGAGTTTACTCTAGTATAAGGTAGCAAAATTCAGCTCAACTAGCTCTGGTAAGGGTTCCAGGGTCCCAGCGGCACATCCCCGGGATCAATCTCCGGTCGAGCTGCAGGAAATGAGGAAACATGCTTGATTTCAGACACATGGTTCGGCTGATACACGAGCAAGGAGAACAAACACGGTCTCAAAAATTGAGATAAGATAAGATCAAGATAAGACCATGGAAAAAAGTGTTTTGAAAATGTAACCTATCGATTGCTTTTGGCCTGTGCCTGAACATAATTTCAGAAAAAATCAACAACAACTTATTTGCATTAATTGTGTCGGACCGAGGAATTTGAAGATGGTTTTTTTGTGATGTGTTTTCACCTATTTCGTTCAAAACAGTAATTTACTTTGTAACCATGGTTGGCAATGTACCATGGTCAAGAGCTGATAATACACTATGGTCACACACCACGGTCACACCATTACCGACTATGTTCAAACATGGTCGGCAGTGAAAAACCATGCATGGTACCATGGTCAACCTCTTGCCGGGGAAGGAGGAGAAGAGAGGAAAAGCTATGGTTGCTCTCCTATTTTTTTTTTTCCTATTTAATGGCTACTTTGGAGATTGGTTTTGGCCGAACAAAAGCTGTTCGACGCAAAAGATCTATTTGGCGGTAACGTTTTAAAAAATCCGGCTAGATATATATTTCATTGTTATGGATGTACTCTGAGAATTGTTTACGACTACGCAATTGCAAATCCGTTAACAGCTGCTTTTAGCCAGGGATGCCTTCAAGCTGGTTCCATATTTGGGCAAAAATAATTCCGTGCTTTCGGATTGCATGGTTAAAAAACCCTAGCATGGTTCTAAACAAATAAGTGGAATTTAGACTCCTCGGGGTTGCATGCCTCTGATTGATCGCATTGATATGTCATAAACAATTGGTTCATGCTTCAGCTTTTCGTATGTCGAGATATGAAACACTTGGGAAGTTTGGAGAGCACTCTGCGCGCGTCGAGCAACTCTGATAGTTTCTTTCGTGCCCTCCAAACGTCCCCCNTTTTAGCCAGGGATGCCTTCAAGCTGGTTCCATATTTGGGCAAAAATAATTCCGTGCTTTCGGATTGCATGGTTAAAAAACCCTAGCATGGTTCTAAACAAATAAGTGGAATTTAGACTCCTCGGGGTTGCATGCCTCTGATTGATCGCATTGATATGTCATAAACAATTGGTTCATGCTTCAGCTTTTCGTATGTCGAGATATGAAACACTTGGGAAGTTTGGAGAGCACTCTGCGCGCGTCGAGCAACTCTGATAGTTTCTTTCGTGCCCTCCAAACGTCCCCCGTGAACCAATTGTTTACGGTAAAGCAAAGGTGCCTACCACTCACATTATAAAAATACTGCTACTGTAAGTTGTTAGCCTGCACAAAAGACATAATTAGGCAGCTTAAGCAACAACGACGACTGTGGCAATAACGTTTCTTAAATTAAGAGAATTCCACTGTTTCAAAGTTGATCGCTCCTATTCCAAGTCGTTGAATTTGAGGACTAGGGACTGTATCCAAGTTTAAGAAAAAGAGTTGAAAACTGTTGCCTGGTGTTCTAGTCCTCCAGAAAACGTGAAATTAGGCTGTTTCACGTAGTGGTCGTGCAACGACGACAAAAGAAACGTACAGAAAGCGTGATTCACGTGCAAAGTTGTTGTTTTACTAATCTAGACCTATTGCGTTTTTGCTGTTTTCGTTGCGATCATCGTCGTTGTTGCTTAAGCTCCGATCCCTAATCTAAATCCGGATAGTAAGGTCTGCGGAGAAGACCCGAGATCCTAGTTCTGGATCCCCAAAAGATTCGAGGAATTATCGGAAGTGCATTTAGAAACCTAATTGGCCAATCGAACAATGTCTTTTTAAGTAGGCCAATAATGGTGTGTTAATCATCGAACCCTGGTACACTGCCGGGGACCCAGAACACGGATTTCGGCGCTGGCTCGCGGACAGACTTGACTAGCTGTTTATCCTAGTCCATGGCGCAGGCTACTCAGTTGTGATTGGATACAATTTAGTATTTATTTCACAGAATCAAAATCCATATCACCTTTGTGGGGCAGTAGGAGCTACTTTATTGCTTTATCAACCAAAAAAATACTACTCTTGCTTTATTTATTTCATTTATGTAGCATTAAAGTAGAAATGAAAAAAAAAATGAGAAAAAACGGATAAACTTAATTAAGGAGATGCCGTATGGGGTGTCGAAGGCCTATCTCGAAAGCGAGCGACTATTTAGCGACTTTGCACAATCTTCGAAATTTGGTTGAAAAATTCTGGAAATCGGTACATCGACTTCCACGGAAACAATAGATTGATCAGTTTCCTGTAAGGAAAGGCTGCGATTGATGAAGCCAGTACTTTACAATTTCATATCTGTTGAAAGCTTTTAAAGTTGACTGACGTACATATGTAAAATTGAAAAAAAAACTAAAGCCATATATGTCTAGTTTTTGGATGATTTTGTGCTCCGGAATTTGCTCTTTTCTCAAGGTTCAATAGTAAAACATCAAATTACCACACAACACTAGTGAATTTGCCTCGTTTGCATTGGTTGCCCTCCGAAATTACCGCTTCCAAAATATGGTAATGTTCTAGAACTAGAAGGCATTTTTTCGTTTTTCTCGTCTTGCCAATTATTGCACTGTCGTCAGAAAAATTCCATAAGTTAGAAAGTATCTGATGCAGACAATTTCCCTCCTTATTAAGTCTAAGTGTAATCTATAAGTTCAAGAGCCATTATGGCTCTTGATAAGTTATAATTAGATGGACAATAAATATCAAGCTGTTTTAAATACCTCTTTTATATTTAGTTCATTAAAATAATCAGACAGATAACACCCTGGCTAGTTCAATAGTTTCATTGCTCCTTTGTCGTAAAAACATTTATTTAGAGCAGGGATTTCATTACAGGTAGGACAGAAAATTAATCGTTTCTATTAAACAAATATAATAGTTCATATTAAATCTAATGACGATTATTTTGAATACCTGAACATCAATTACTTTTTATTTACTAAATAAAAAGTAATTTAGGCGGCTTCAAGACAACACAAGAAAGTTCAATAACCCCTTCGCCGGCGTATAATATTTATTTACAAAAAAAAGGAAAGAAAGAAAAACTTGTCTTCTTTAACTCACAGAAAAACATTGCAAGTACCCACGTAACACTTATCACAGTGGATTATAATCCTTCAAGTAACTCATTGGACGATATGATGTTAAGACGTTTTTTAGAAATTCCTAGAAAAATATTCTACAGTTTTGCTCAATGGTGTTATAGGTCTGATCGATGATCGCTAATTATAAAACATCAATCCGATCAAACGAAATGGTTTGGTTAGAGAACTCACATACGCTTAATGAGACTCTTTCGGTCCGTGACCACAGTACAGAAAAGGCTTTTCTGTGCAAATATGCACCATTGTGAATGGAGTTGATATCAATATCACAAGATACCTCATGTAATATCATAGGGATTGATATACTTCTTTTCGATGTTTTGTTTTGTTGTTTTGTTTAATGAGCTGCATTATTTTTCTTTGCTCCAAGGGATCGAAAATGCACGTTCTATTCGTTATTTTTCCATTTGCCACTTTCCAAGCTGTTTGTAATGGCTTAACGTACGGTGAACCTGAAGTAAACTATCTTGCTGCGAACCCCTTTAGGGACGTACATCGAAGACCGAAACGTTCATTGGGTATGTATGCAGAGTTCAATTTGTCCTGATCGTTGAAATTTCCGACCTCAGCCCTCGCTCATCTTGTGTTTATTCATAGTGCCAGTAATAAGCCTATGATTTTGCCAGTAATAAGTCTGATTTTGGTGAAGAAATATTTCTTCCAAGTTAATGAGTTTCCAGCAGTTCAGCGTGATATATTAAAGTTAATCAAGAAAATATACTTAGTACAGTAATAAGCACAGAGCCGGGAACATGTAGTGAATTCGGTATCCTTCATTAAAATTTTGCAAACCTGAGCAAGAAGTCTGCAAGACATGCTTAACGATCAACATTAGTATGAAGAACATACAACTATTTATTCTCAGGTTTGTTTCAGTAGTTTTAGCGCTTAGAAATGTTACCAATATTGAGCAGGAAATAATTAACAAAGTAACTTTAATTAAAGTATTAGTGCTTGTGTTTGTTTGTAAAGAACTTCTTATATTTGAAATCTAGTCCAAGAACTCGTTGGTCTCGGGTAATCTGAAGGAACGGAAGAGCTTAACTCTTGATCGGACTTTTTTCAGGAGCCAAAATTCGCCACTTTAGAAACGAGAAGGAACCTGGGCCGAGTAAACTTTCGCAAAGGCTTCTGGGACTGCTGATAGGGACAAAAAAGGAAAAACAATTGACCAATAGCTGACTGGCGAGTCCCCAATAACGATCCCAGAAAGTCTCCCAGAAACAATTGCGGGACATATATCGGCTCCAGTTCCCTTCTCGTTTCTAACGTGCAGAATGGTTGTGTGGCTGCAGACCTCGAAAATGTAGCCAATCACAGTGAAGCAGTAATGAGTGAACTACTGCGACGACGGCACAGAAAACGTCACGTTTTCGTTTATTCAAGCTTCAAAGTCTTTCTTGTCAGGTGTGGGCGAATTTTAGCGTAGTTAATTATCAACTTCTTAGAGACCACATTCAAGATAAATAAAAGAAATAAAAATTCGCCGTCATTCGTTCGCGTCCTCCACAAAACTAAAAGTGAAATGAGGCAATTTCATTTCGTAGTCGTGTGTTGCCGGCAACTGACAAATGTACAAAAAGGGTGGTGCACGTACAGTGTTTTTTTTTTTTTTTAAATCATAAACCAATTGTTTCTTTTTTTTAATACCATGTCTCGCTGCAGCCGACGTCGTCCTTGCGATAACTCCCTATATAATAGATGATGCGGCTATACTAGCCATTTAACCTAAGGGCAAATGGCTGTTGCCCAAGGGGAAGCAACTGTTCGTGTGACCGATTTTCCCGAGGTCAAACTGCCTTGGGCAAATTTCCATGGATACGAAAAAAGGAACAAAAGAATTCCTCATGGCAGTTCCTGACTCGTTGTCCTTTGCTCCCGATAGAACCTCTAGCCTCTTCTCTTGCCTCAAGTTCTCTCTTGAAAATATCAAACAGATGATCTGCCAGTCATCATCTCCTATTTCTTTTACAAATCCTTAGAATCTTAAGACAGCTTGTTCATCAAGATAGATGACAGCAAACCCCCTTAAATGATTTACGAGATTTACAAGATACACAGATCATCAAGATGGCTACAAGAACAGAAGACGGTTTTCCCACACTTCCCTAGAGCACTTGCGAACTCCTAAGCCTTACGTCATCGAGCACAAACTTTTCACACAGAAAATTTCCCGCGAATCAGCATTCAAGTATTTTCTTCCCCTTGAGAAGTTTGTTGTCGTGTAACCGCAAACATGAAAGTGATCATGACGCACAGCGAGCCCAACCCAAGCTATTTTCCCCAAGGAAAGGTTTGGCAAACAGGTCTAATGTCAATGCACTTAACACGAGACTCAACAGCTGACCGTTGGTTGACCATTACTGAGTGTGATGAAAATGGTAAACAAAATTCAGGGAACCTGATCTCAATCGCTTCTCTGATGAATATCTTAATCGTTATTTCTTAGTGTGTGGTCCAGGACAGGTCGACAAAATGCCGGGATCATGTGCACTCTACAAAACGTTTGGATTCTGCACTGCAGCTTTACTTACACCTTCCATGACAACAAGTTGTCCCGTAACCTGTGGATTCTGTGGTAAGGCGAATTGATCAACAAATTTCAGAATGAAAATTAACATATCTGAGAATTGAGCTTGGTTTCTGTAATGGAGCAAAGTTACGCCGTAGTGATCTTGAAAGTGGATCGTCACATATTAGACACTTAGGTTTCTGTTACTCTTCTTCGCATTGAGAACAGGTATTCGGACAGTGGCGGGTGTAAATAAGAGCGGAGACAGGACTGGAACCCACTGAGACGGAAGTAAATATTCAGAAGTAACATGTAGCCGCCCTTTTTGTTTTCAGTGGCAATAATAGTAATAGTAATAATAATAATAATAATAATAATAATAATAATAATAATAATAATCGAATATTTATCCAGGATAACCCTTCAGTACCAAGTACTGTTATCAGCGGGGTCCTGCTGACTAAAAATTAAAAATCTGATAAATACGAATAAACAAAAATTTCTAAAAAGAAAACCTACACAAGGCTATAAAAAGTAACAAGTAATAAGAAGTACTGAAGAAAAATAGATATATTAAAAGAATAGGTTAATAGGTTAATAATAATAATAATAATAATAATAATAATAATAATAAATGTAGTCACTGATAGTGAAAACTTATGGCACTAATTCACTACATACTGAGGTAGCCTAATACATATGTATCTAGCCAGATCTTTGATAACGTTATGAAAACTAAGAGTGAAACCATTCTTTTTTTTCCTTCTCCTCCTTTGCTTCTCCTCGCTCTTTCTTTTTCTCTTTTCCTTTTCCTTTGTTACTACTATGATTTTGGAGCTTCTCGGGCTTCTCGTTAGGTTGGTTTTCAAAAAATCGGGCTAGATATACATATTAATTATAATAATAACAATAATAATAAAAAAACTTTATTTATAAAGCGCTTAACAGGGTTCATAAAAAAAGAGAAAATGATAAATTAAAAACTTACATTGAATGATGATAAAAAGAGCACCTGACAAATTACATAAGTTACAATAAAAATCCTGGGATGGTCTGGTTCAAAGAGGAACTAAACCTTTTCGCCTGAAACTTAGTTGGCCTGGGCCCGATTGCATAAAACGTCCGTAACAACTACGGGTACACGTACGTGCACTCGTAACTTAAGTCAGTTGCATGAAATCACTTAAGTGGTCCACTTAGGGAATTCACATCGAATATTTATCCAGGATAACCCTTCAGTACCAAGTACTGTTATCAGCGGGGTCCTGCTGACTAAAAATTAAAAATCTGATAAATACGAATAAACAAAAATTTCTAAAAAGAAAACCTGCACTAGGCTAAAAACCGTTAAAAACTACAATAAAAAGTAACAAGTAATAAGAAGTACTGAAGAAAAATAGATATATTAAAAGAAAATTTCCAATAGGTTAATAATAATAATAATAATAAATGTAGTCACTGATAGTGAAAACTTATGGCACTATTTCACTACATACTGAGGTAGCCTAATACATATGTATCTAGCCGGATCTTTGATAACGTTATCGCCAAATGGATCTTCAAAGTAGCTATTATGAAAACTAAGAGTGAAACCATTGTTTTTTTTCCTTCTCCTCCTTTGCTTCTCCTCGCTCTTTCTTTTTCTCTTTTCCTTTTCCTTTGTTACTATGATTTTGGCGCTTCTCGGGCTTCTCGTTAGGTTGGTTTTCAAAAAATCGGCTAGATATACATATTAATAATAATAATAATAACAATAATAATAAACTTTATTTCTAAAGCGCTTAACAGAGTTCATAAAAAAGAGAAAATGATAAATTAAAAACTTACATCTAATGATGATAAAAAGAACACCTGACAAATTACATAAGTTACAATAAAAATCGTGGGATGGTCTGGTTCAAAGAGGACTAAACCTTTTCGCCTGAAACTTAGTTGGCCTGAGCCCGGTTGCATAAAACGCCCGTAACAACTACGGGTATACGTACGTGCACTCGTAACTTAAGTGAGATGTATTAAATCACTTAAGTGGTTCACTTAGGGAATTCACTTAAGTGGTCGCACTTACGATTTTCCTAAGTGTTCACTTAAGTATCGTTTATGCAACAGAAATTGCGAGTGTTGCATAAAACTTTTTTTATGGGAAAAATAGCACGTAAATTTACAGGACCTATATAAGTCCCGTATCGTTACTAATCGCGGTTTTTGGAAATTAAATTGTTTTCTGTAAACTGTAACGTTTTCAATTTAGAGAGAGACTGGGGCGAGAAGAAAACCAAGGAATTAAATACTTTACAATACAATAAAACAAAATTTGAGAACTTAAAGGTTTGTAAACGTGGTGTTCTTCTAAAATGTAAAATTTTGCATAATTAAGGGCGCGGCTGGTCATGTCACTTCAAAAAGTGCAATGTCAGCACCAAAAATTGCTTCTTTCATCCGCGCTCAGTTATAATCAAACATAAAGGGAGTGCGAAACAAAACAAGAAAATAAGGTTGAAAGGCAGATATGATCTTTTTCTCACGTTAGATATGCAAACTACCTCAGGTTCGTCAACTACCTAGTATACGAAACTACATTAACTAAAAATACATTAAAATCTCATCAACAACACCAATCTACTCCAACCACTCCAAAGTCAAAATGCGTTATTAGCTATGGAGCGAGTCCCAGAACTGTATTTCATGAAAGTATCATGCACAATTTCACTTCATAAGCAAGAAGAGATATTCATAAAACTCTTTTGAAAAAAATAATTAAGCAACAAAGCTTGATTAATATACAGGGTTGGAAAATGTATTTGAACTGAACTGACAAAAAAAGACAAAGAATACACGGTTGTTTTGAAATAAATTCAATGTTTCGGACTGCCAGGAGTTCACTGACTAAAAACATGGTTCGAGTTATGGAGGGTAAAATTATTTAGAAATGACTTGAAGGAAAACAACACTTACTTCGAGTTAGCGAGAGGTTGGGGTTCAAGTAGATCCCTTTTGAGACACCCTAAATTAGCAGTAAGATGATAAGTTTCTAGCCTCTCTTTTGTTTTCAGTGCCATGCATACCAGACCAACGTCCGTTATCGTTTTGTGCACGTTACAAAATATTTGGCTTTTGTGTAACAAGCGACCAGAGCATTAAGCAATTTATGGAGACAAATTGTTACACCACATGTGGATTTTGTATCGGTAAGATTCAGAACAAATAATAATAAAATAATTATAATAATGATAATAATAATCCCATTATGATGAAGATTGATGGCGTTACTTCTACACTGAGGTAGCCTAGCTAATGCATAATCATTTTTTTCCCTCTGAAGATATCTACACCAACTACCTCAAGTACGTCCACCCCTTGATTTATCAGCATATCTAGAGTACTGGCTAATGGGGAACTTGTGCAAAAAATATTTGGATTGAAGTTAATTCGTTTTCACTTCATTGTTTTCAGTGCCTACAACCATGCCTGCCCCGACAACGACGCCTGAAGGTAAGAAAGAGATATCTATTAGGTAATAACTAGCAGTAGTGATGATGATGATGGCAGATGATGATGATGATATAATAAAACTGGAGAGACGAAAATATAACTATTAAATGCTTATAGTACTAGTTAACAAGAAAATTCCCTGTATTTCATTTGCAAAAAAAAAATGGTTGAGGTCTATTTATTTTCATTGTTTTCAGTGCCTACAACCATGCCAGCACCGACAACGACACCTGAAGGTAAGAAAGATAGAGATATTTATTAAACAAAAACTAAGAAGCGATGATGATGATATTTTAAATTGGGGAATCTCGTCTTAAGTTTAAATGCATACATATGCAGTGTTAATTTAGGAGGAAGTTCCTGGTTTGTTTTGTTGCAAGAACATTTGGATTGAAGTTCATTCGTTTTCACTTCATTGTTTTCAGTGCCTACAACCATGCCTGCTCTGACAACAAAACCTGAAGGTACTAAAGGGTTATTTATTTGACAATAACTGACAGTGGGGATGATGGTGATGATAATGATGATGATGATAATGTTGACGATCATAATGATGATGATTATGATGATGATTGCATAGTACAATAGGATAGATGACAACAACAGTCGGAAATGCTCATGTTACTAGTTAAAAAATATCCTGTTTGCAAATATTATTTGGATTGCATATTGTTCGTTTTCACTTTTCAGTGCCTAGAACTATGCCATCACCGACAACAACTCCTGTAGGTAAGAGAGATATATTTATTAAACAATAACGAAGGTAATGATGATGATAAAATGATGATGATGATGATGAAATAAAACAGAAGAGACTCGACTTTAGTATGAAATAAATACACGTGAAGTATTTTAAGAAGGAAGTTCCTGGTTTGTCTCGTGCTAAAAATATTTAGATTGAAGTTTTATCGTTTTTAATTCATTGTTGTCAGTGCCTACAACCATGCCTGCCCCGACTACAACGCCTGAAGGTAAGAAATAGATATTTAGCACACAGTAAATATCTAGCACACACATATTTCGCACACAGTAAATATCAATAAATGTTCAGCTTGGAATGTGGCGTGCCTCAGGGTTTCTCTCTAGGTCCCATACTATTTACGCTGTGTAGGAGTAAGCTCTTTGGGACCGTCAAAAATCATCTGCCTGAAGTTCATTGTTATGCAGATGATACACAGGCTTACATTTCACTAGTCAGGCCAGCTTTCAGCCTAAAAAGGCACGGAAAATCGCGGATATTCGTTTGTGGATGACAATCTTAAATTGAACGACGACAGGAGGACTAAATTTCTCATTATTGGCACACCATGACAGCTGGAAAAGGTCGACATCACAAGTATCCGTGTGGTTAACCCTGACCTTCATCCCATTCCCACTGCAAGGAATCTCGGTTCATGGTTTGACTCTGGGCTGTTCATGTCTAAATAAACATATTACAAAGATCTGTGGCTCTGCATTTTTCTATCTGAACAACATACGACGCATCAGGAATTATCTCTCACAAACGTCGACCGAGATACTTATTCATGCATTCGTATCCAGTCGTCTTGACTACTGCAACAGGTTATTACATGGCCTGCCTAATTTCTTACTAAATAAGCTATAACGTGTACAGAATGCTTGTGCTTGACTGATTTTTAATGAACGCCGCTTATTATGGAGTTACACTGGTTACCAATAAGAATAGAATTGAGTTTAAAATTCTTTTGATTACTTTTAAGATTCTTCGTGGTTTAGCCCCGTCTTATTTATCATCTCTTATTAGGCTTAGGCGTCCATCGCGATACAATCTTAAAAATTCAAATGATAATCTTTTACAGTGGAACCCCGCCTTACGGCCACCTCGGTAATAAAGTCACCTCGTTATTACGGCCACTGTTTTTGGCCGCCCTGCAAAACGACCATACATTTTCTTGTAAAAAAAACCTCGTTAATACGGTCACCCGTTAATACGGCCAATTTTTTTGCCCCATTGGTGACCGTTTAACGGGGTTCTACTGTAGCAATATAGATGATGACAATATAATGAAACTGGAGAGTCTTGACAACAGTCAAAATTCCAAATACATGTAATATTATAGTTTAGAAGGAATTACCCTGTTTGTTCTGTGCCAAAAAATATTTGGATCGAAGTTTATGCGTTTTCAATTCATTGTTTCAGTGCCTACAACCATGCCTGCCCCGACAACTACCCCTGAAGGTAAGAATTAAAGATTTATTTATTACATAATAACTAAAAGTAGGGATGATGAAAAGGAAATATATGACTGCTTACTTCAAATCCTTTAATTTCACAACCAAACGACTATCCTGATCTACCTACCTTATTAGGATAAATGCAACATATTCAAAATCGTCCGTACTTCACCCACTTGTTATCTTTACAATCATCTTAATAGTGACTTGTAAGCCTCTGAATTATATTCTGTATTCCAGTTAATCTCAGCAATGTTTTTAACGTATTATAAACCTTTCTTCTTATATATTTATATAAGCTTAAATAACTTTTTGTTGACCTGTTTATATAATACCATTTGAAGTGCGTATTTTGTTTTATATGGACACTACTCACCTAGACTAGCGTTTGTTATTTGTGGGCAGTGAGAAAATTAAATTGTAAATATCTTAATAAACCAATAAATTAAATGAAACTGATGGTGATGATCAAATAATGCAAATGGATAGACGTCCACATCAGTCTTCAATGTTAATGCTTTTAAATAAAGAGGAACTTTGCAGTTTGTCTTGTGCAAAGAATATTTCGATTGAAAATTTTTTCTACTTTTTCCGTTTTTTTTTCAGTGGCTACAACCATGCCGACGACGATACCTGAAGGTAACTGAAATAGAGTTCATGGTGATTCTGATGATGTTAAAATAAAACCGGGGAGTTTAGACGGGCATCAGTTTGAATTGCATACAAGAAAGTGTCTGGTTTGTCTTGTGCAAAGATTATCTGGATGAAACCATTTTTCATTTAACTTCAACGTTTTCAGAGCCTACAACCGCGCCTCCCCCGACAACGACGCCTGAAGGTAAAAAAAGAGATATTTATTAAGCAACAACTAAGGTAATGATGATGATGATGATGTAAAAGAGGATTCTCGAAATCAACACGAAATGCATATACGTGTATAGTATTATTTAAGAAGGAAGTTCCTGGTTTGTCTTATGCAAAAAAAATATTTTGCTCGTTTTTACTTCATTGGTTTTAGTGCCTACAACCATGCCCGCCGTGACAACGACACCTGAAGGTACGTAAGAAAGAGATGTATTTAGCACACAGTAACTAACAGTAGGGGTGATGATGATGTAATACAATTGGATAGACGAAAACATCATTCTAAAATGCTTATGTTTATTCATTTTCAATGTTTTTAGTGACTACAACCATGCCTGCCCCAACAACGACACTTAAAGGTAAGAACGAAATATATTTAGCGCACAGTAACTAACAGTAGGTTCGATGATGATGGTGCTGATGATGATGATGATGATGATGATGATGATGATGATGATGATGATGATATAATACAATTGGATAGACGAAAGCATCAGTCTAAAATGCTTATGGTACTAGTTAAGAAGAAAATTCCCAGTTTGTCTTATACAAAGACTATTTGGATTGATGTTTATTCATTTTCGTTGTTTTTAGTGCCTACAACCGTGCCGACACCGACAACGACCCCTGAAAGTAAGAAAGAAATATTTATTAAATAATGACTAAATTAGCAATGTAGATAGTGATTATATTATAAAACTTGAGTGTCTCGACATCAGTCTAAATTGCAAATACATGTAGTATTAGTTAAGAAGAAAGATCCCAGTTTGTCTCGTGCAAAAAAATATTTGGATTGAAGTTAATTCGTTTCTACTTCATTGTTTTCAGTGCCTACAACCATTCCAACACCGACCACGACACCCGAAGGTGAGAAAGAAATATTTATTAAACAATAATTTACAGTGCGAAAGATGATGATGGTGGTGATGATAAACACTCAGTTTGATACAATACAAATGGATAGGCGACTACATCAGTCTGTAATGTTTAATATACTTCTAATTAAAAAGGAAATTCCCAGTTTGTCTTATGCAAATAAAATTTGAACTTCGCTGTTTTCAGTGCCTACAACCATGCCAACACCGACAACGTCGCCTGAAGGTAAGAATTGGTAATATTCATCAAACAATATGATAATTAACAGTTAATGAATGAGGCTGAGTATCTTATGAAGAATTATGGAGATCGAGGAGGGTGTTATCCGTCGAGGCCGTAGGCCGAGGCGGATAACACCCTCCGAGATCTCCATAATTCTTCATATGATACGAAAGCCGAATTCAATAACTGTTTTATTATTCATTCAAAATAATTCCTAGTTTAAAAACATAGCTAAAACATGCTTACCTCCATCGATCAATCGATGTTCAGTTCATCTTCGATAGTGTACGTTTAGGTTTGTCCAGCTCCGCAAATATTCTCCAAATAGCAGATGTCGCCCTTCGAGTTGTCTTCTTGCTGTTCTTGCCATGTTTTTAGCTATTTTTTCGCCTAGTTCTTACTCTTGAAAGGAGTGAAATGTCCGCCATTTTTTCAAGTTCACAACCAAAACAACTCAACCTCGTCCCCAGGTCCTCTCGGTTAACGGTGCCTTAACCTGCACGAACGCTGCATTTTTGACGTCATTTCCTCGTTAAAGTCAAATTTCTTCCAAATTTGGTCATCGGTAACTGGTTATGGTAAATTAAACGTGAGCTTTTAGCCATCAGAATCGAGGAAATATTTTGAATGAATAATAATTAGAAATTATTGAATGAGGCTGAGTAGGATATGAAGAATTCTGCAGATCAAGGAGGGTGTTATCCACCGAGGCCGAAGGCGGAGGTGGATAAAACCCTCCGAGATCTGCAGAATTATTCATATCCTGCGATAGCCGAATTCAATAATTGCATTATTATTCATTCAAAATAATTCCAACTTTAAAAACAAGCTAAAAATGCGTACCTCGGTCGATGTTAAGTTCACATCGATACTGCATCTTTTTCGGGAAATTTAGCAGATAAAGGTCTGCTCAGGTCTGCAAATATACTCCAAATAGCAGATGTTGTCCCTCGAGTTGACTTCTCGCTGTTCTTGCTATGTTTTTTGACAATACTTCGCCGTGAAACGAGTACAATGTCCGCCCGCCCTTTCCGCCATTTTTTTTAAACCGATGACGTCATTTTGACGTCATCGGTTCAATATGACAGTTCAGCCGCTGGTTATGGTGAATTATGCGTGTGGTTTTACCCAATCAGAAACAGGGAAATATTTTGAATGAATAATAATGATGATTAATACTTCTTGAGAGACGAAAATATCAGTCCGAAATGCTTATAGTACCAGTTATAAAGAAAATTCTTAGTTTGTCTTGCCCGAAAACTATTTGGATTAGGGTCGTTGTGTTCAGTGCCTACAAGTATGCCAGCAACGACAACGACGCCTGAAGGTAAGAAAGAAGTATCTAGTACACAATAATTAATAGTAGGGAAGATGGTGATAGTGATGATAAACACGATAATATAATACAACTGGAGATAGGACTACATCGTTCTGTAATGTTTATACTTCTAAATAAAAAGGAAATTGCCAGATTTGTCTTCTGCAAATAATATTTGAACTGAGTTTTTTGTTTTTGTTTTGTTTTTTCGTTGTTTCAGTGCCTACAACCATGCCAGCACCGACAAAGACGCCTGAAGGTAAGAACTGGTAATATTTATTAGGAAATAACAGGCCGTATTGATGACGATAATAATAATGCGATGATGATGATGATGTTGACGATGATGATGATGATGATGATGATGATGCCTAACACTTCCAAAGAGACGAAAATATCAATCCGAAATGCTTATAGTACTAGTTACGAAGAAAAATTCTAGTTTTATCTTGCGCAAAAAATATTTGGATGGCGGTTTATTTATATTCATTGTTGGCTGTGCCTACAACTTTGCCAGCACTGACAACGACTCCTAAAGGTAAGAAAGACAAAACAATAAGTAAAGTAGCGATGATGGTGATGATGATGATGATCGTGATATTATAGAACTGAAGAGTCTCTATATCTGTCTAAATAGCTAAAACTTGTAGTATTAGTCAAGAAGGAATTCCCAGTTTGTCTAGTGCAAAAAATATTTGGATTCAATTTTTTTTTCATTGTTTTTAGTGCCTACAAGCATGTCTTCCCCGACCACAACGCCTGAAGGTAAGAATTAGTAATATGTATTTATTAGACGGCATTAATGAGAATGATGATAATGATGACGACGATGATAACGATGATGATGGCTAATACTTCTGGGGAGACGACAGTATCAGTCCGAAATACTTATACTTTACTCGTTAAGAAGAGAATTATTGGGACTAAGGTTGATTCGTTGTTTTCAGTGCCTACAACCGTGCCAACACCGACAACGACGCCTGAAGGTAAGAAAGAAGTATCTAGTACACAATAATTAATAGTAGGGAAGATGGTGATACTGATGATAAACACGATAATAAAATACAACTGGAGATTGGAGATACGACTACATCGTTCTTAATGTTTATACTTCTAAATAAAAAGGAAATTCCCAGTTTGTCTTCTGCAAATAATATTTGAACTGAGTTTTTTGTTTTTGTTTTGCTTTTTCGTTGTTTTCAGTGCCTACGACCATGCCAGCACCGACAAAGACGCCTGAAGGTAAGAATTGGTAATATGTATTGGATAATAACCGACCGTATTGATGAGGATAATGATAATGCGATGATGATGATGATGATGATGATGATGATGATGATGATGATGATGACTAACACTTCTAAACAGATAAATATCAGTCCGAAAGGCTTATAGTACAAGTTAAGAAGAAAAATTCTAGTTTTATCTTGCGCAAAAAATATTTGGATTGCGGTTTATTCATTTTCATTGTTGGCTGTGCCTACAACTGTGCCAGCACCGACAACGACGCCTGAAGGTAAGAAAGACAAAACAATAAGCAAAGTGGCGGCGATGGTTATGATGATGATCACAATATTATAGAAATGAAGAGTCTAGATATCAGTATAAATTGCAATATTTGCAGTATTAGTTAAGAAGGGATTCCTAGTTTGTCTAATGCGAAAAATATCTGAATTTAAATTTTTTCTTTTTCTTTTTTTTTTCCATTTATTGTTTTTAGTGCCTACAAGCATGCCTTCTCCGACAACAATGCCTGAAGGTAAGAATTAGTAATATTTATTTGACCGCATTAATCAGAATGATGATAATGATGACGACGATGTAACGATGATGATGGCTAATACTTCTGGAAAGAAGACAGTATCAGTCCGAATTACTTAATATACATTACTCGTTAAGAGAATTTTTGGCACTAAGGTTTATTCGTTGTTTTCAGTGCCTACCATCATGCCAGCACCAACAACGACTCCTGAAAGTAAGAAAGACGAGAGAATGACTAAAGAATATCTAAAGTAGCGATGATGATGATGATGAAGTTGATGATGTTGATGATGCTATGATAAAACAGGAGAGTTTAGACAGACATCCGTTTGAATTTCAGGAGGAAGTTCCAGGTTTGTCTTGTGCAAAGAATATTTGAATTGAGGCTTATTCGTTTTCACTTCATTGTTTTCAGTGCCTACGACTATGCCAGCCCCGACAACGACGCCTGAAGGTAAGAAAGAAATATTTAGTACTCAATAATTTAAACAGTAGGGATGATCATAATGACCAATGATGATGATGATGATACAATACAACTGGATAGACGATAACATCAATTTCCCATTTTGTCTTGTGCATTAATTAATTCCATTTTTTTAGTTCCTACAACCACTACAACACCTACAACGTCGCCTATGGGTAAGCAATTATTGGATTCGACTTAATTTCGCACGATCTGCTACCTTTAATTAAGAATGTTGAATAATCACTGCCGGAAAACTCATATTAAATTGGCCTTAGGGTATTACCATGTTTTGAGGATTTAAGGACTTAAACTCGCTCACCAACCAATCGTTTCGTCAATTTTTATTAGGATTCTCGTTTCCGGAACCCTCCAACGTTGAACATTTTCCTTGTTTTCCGAAAACTAAGTTGCGTTTTTTTTTTCAGGTCTGATCTGTTTGTCTCCATGGTTTTAGTTACCCGCGTTAGCCTCCCTTTCTCGTAAAAAAAAAACAAGCATGACCCGTCTTAGCCTGCCTGGGAGTACGAAAATTGCTTATTTACGCAGTAAAATGACATTTAATGTATTTCTTTATGCGCTGTTTAAAATTATGTTTGAGACACCTAACATTTTCAGCAAGGTAATAAATATGTAGCCATCCTTTTGTTTTCAGTGCTGTGCATACCAGACCAACGGCCGGAGTCGCTTTGCAGAACTTATAAAGGATTTGGCTTCTGTGTAACGAGCAACCAGAGTATTAAGCAATATATGGAGACAAATTGCTTCATCACCTGCGGATTTTGTATTGGTAATAAAACAATGGTAATAATAATAGTTTAGGTTTCTCCAATTAACCACATCATCATCATTGAACATAACCCTAATTAACTAGTCCACAAAGAACCTTTAAGACGCACGGGAGAGAAACAAAATGAACTGGTTTGCAGATAAAGCAGTCATTTAGTGGTATGGTATATAGCCTACGAAAACAATGTATAATGTATTCCTGCGAAAGTTAATGAGATACCTGTGCAAAAAGAGGAGAGAAACACCCATATTACACCACTACAAATTTTGATGGGTTTAACTTTCTACAGTCTTTCAATGAGCTCTTGAAAAATTGGGTTTATTCTCAGTAATACAGTATATTAGAGTATCTTTCTATGTTGTTTCATTAGTCCTTTAGCTTTTCAGGCTTAAATTTCCGCCAATAAATCTTGCTTTCCTGTGTTTCCGTAAAATACGGAACAGCTCAAGGCTTGGGATCAAGATGAGGAGATTTGTATCTGATATTGTCTACCTAAGCCTCTCTCTCGTCTTTATCGTGGGCTGGAATGGAATGGAATGTGGGGGAAACTCACTTACATAAGAGAGGAGTTTTGGTTCTTCAATAATGCAAAAAAAAGACATTCAAGGTTTATACGTTTTCTTATTAGCCCTTTCAACCGTGACAACACTGACTACGACGCCCGTGGATTAGGATTAATTTTGTATGACCTGAAGATTAAGAACAACCTCCAGGATCTGCATAACTCTTAACATCATACGAAAACCGAATCCAATAACTGTGTTATTATTCATTGCAAATGATTCATACTTTAAAGCATGCTTACCTCAATCGATGTTAAATTCCTGTCCTTACTTGCCGGTTTCTTAACAAATTCAGGATTTAAAGGGATGTTTAGTCTAACAGACATTCTTCAAGTGGCAGCCTTAGTATAATGACATTCTTTAGGTTGTTATCTAAGGGTGCAGAATTGACCTAGCATAGCAAACGAGGGTACAACAATCCACATTTTTAAAAAGGGAAAGGCCAATCATCTAGGGTAAAGCATTCGTTTTTAACAGGATGATATTTCAAAGCATGTTTTTACAAGCCATAACGCGCACATGGCAAAGCATGCACTCTTCACTTATGTTCCAAAATAACGCACACATACTCAGCATGTACTTTTGAGTGGTAAAATAAAGTGCACGCTCAGCTTTTTACCATTTAATTTGTTAACAAAGTAACAATGAAGATAATGATAATGATGATGATGATGATGATGATGATGATGATGATGATGACGAAAAAATCTAGAAAGACGACAATATCAGTCTAAGATGCTTATGGTACTAGTTAATAAGGAAGAAATATCCATCTTTCATTGTCTTGTGCAAGGAATATTGGGATTGAGTTTTAATCATTTTCCTTGCTTTCAGTGCCTACAACCACGCCTGCCCTGACAACGTCGCCTGAAGGTAAAAAAGAGATATTTGCTAAACAACAACTAAAGTAACAATGATGGTGATGATGATGATATTATGAAGCGAGAGATGTTACAATAACGATTTGAAATGGATATCGAATTTGTCAAGAAGGAAGTTCCCAGTGTCAAGAATATTTTAAATGAAGATTTTTCATATTCACATTATTTTTTCAGTGCCTACAACCATGCCAGCACCGACCACGACGCCTTCGGGTAGGAACGAGATATTTATGAAGCAACGACGATCATTTAACGTTTCTCTGAAACTGCCCATCTACCCCTCCCCTAAACCAACATTACCACTTAGTTCTTACTTAGGGCAAAATGTTGGCTTAGGGGAGGGGTAGGTGGGCAGTTTCCCAGAAACGTAAAATGATCCGCAACGACTAATATAGCGATTATGATGATGAATATGATAACCATGATATTGAAGACGATAATGATAATGAGGATACTGATGATGATATGAAACAACTGGATAGACTACATCATCAGTCTGAAATGCATAAAGTACTAATTATTAAACCAGAACCTTTCCAGTATGTCCTCCCCTAGCTGTACAGAGAATTTTATCTTCAGATTAAGATTTATTCGTTTTTAGTGTCACTTCCGACAAAGAGCTCAGTGGCAGGTAAGATAAACAAAAATGTCAAGTGATAGCCGATTCTTTAGAAGATGAAAGAGATAAGTATTAAAAATTGTCAGTAACAATGATCATTTTTACAATGATTTTACAGATTATAACTACGACGTTGATGGCGATTCACGGTGAGGCCAAACCACCCCCTAAATGCATATCGCATATTGCAATGCGTGGGTAGTTGTGTTATTTTACAATAACTTTGTTGGCTTGTTAGCTTTTTAATTTTCACGGAAGTGGATTTGAAAATGCAAAATGTCAGGCCAATTAAATTAGTTGCTGGTATGTCTTAAAATATTTAGTTATGACGTCTTGTTTGCAGACGTCAGTTTGACGCAAAAAGTTTAAAACCAATTTTCCCCATTTTGGTGACGTCAGCTAGTGTGACGTCACAATTTTTTACTTTTAACTAAAAAGTCCTAAAAAAACGTTTTCGGTCATTAATCGTAGTCCATCGAGCAAGTTTGGTTGACAAATAACAAAAATCGTAAGAAATACGTAAATTTAGCACTCATGCAACATTTGAGGGGTGGTTTAGCTCCACCGTGTATTGGTCACAATATAAATGAGATTCATGATGATGTCGACATTGTACCGACATATGACAACATCTGAAATCTTGTTGGTGAACAAGAAAATTCCCAGTGCCTTTCTAGTCACAGGGTTTCGGTGTTAGCTTAAAGAGTACTGATGCATACAAGGACGCCATGATCTAGATAAAGCGTTGTATCACAATACTGCTTATAGCGCTTGGTAAGCCAATAGCGCACGTTCGATATTTTAATATAATTTAATAATTCTTATATGACTCCGAGGCTTTAGGAACAAAATTACAAATGTTTCACGACTCCATTGTCTCACAATTCCCGGAAGAGACTTGAGCACAAAGAAAACCACACCAAATATAGAATAATTACCAGAAAGCCTGGGAGTCATCATGTAAGAATTTTAATCTATTGAACGTGAGTTATTGAGACAGATTTTTGCACGAAAAAGAGGATGGTTTCTTTCAAAGGGGAGACTATATGCGTACAGTGGCACGGAATTAGAAGCATTTAGAGGACGGAAAATGTTGGTAAGGAGTCAAAGCGGTAGAACAAAGTACCCCAAAAGCTTAGTGACTTATTATACGTCTCTGTATGAATTTCTATTTTACAGTCAACGGCAGTTGGTCTATGTGGGGAGTCTGGGGTGTCTGTAGTGTTACATGCGGGGGTGGACAGCAGGTGCGCAGACGAGCTTGTATTAATCCACCGCCATCAGGAAGTGGCGCTGATTGCGTGGGAAACAGCAGCCAGACTCAATCCTGCAACAGCAATCTATGCCCAGGTATAAAATTTCTTTATCGTGGTGATTGGGTTACCGTATTTATTCGATTAAGCGCTCTAGGCGGTTATTAACTTTTTGGACCTTGAGGGTGGGCGCTTACTGAATTTTCACAATTTGCAGTAACAGTGATGGGTGGTTATTCGAGGTGGGCGCTTATTCCAGGTTGGGCACTTAATCGAATAAATACGGTAAGTGGAAAAGATATCTCAGGTTTTAGTCTTAAAGTGTTTGAAATCCTGAAATCAAAAAAGTCTTAATATGAAAATGCCATAATCGTCTGTTTTAGCTGGTTGCATGAAGACACTGATTTTTTTCAAATAACTGGAATCCACGAATTCCGCTTGGCCACATTCTGATAGCGTAAACCTGAGTGTTTTCGATGTTCATGAGCTCTTTTAAATATTTCCTTAAATGCCAAACAATGAAAATATATCTGATATTGAAAACCGCTGTACCGTTTTGAATCATGTCGCCTCGCGTAATGCGGGTTCCGGAATCCGGGACATCTTTGCTCGTGTAATCCGGCATTAGGGAAAATTTTGCTTGTGGAATCCGAAACCCTGGAATTTGGAATCTGGAATCCCACTAACGATTGGAATCCAGAATCTAAGTTTCACCAACAAAGACTGGAATTCAGTACCTGGAATCCGGAACCCACGGCGTGGAGTCCAGAATCCAAGACTGTCTTGGATTTTCTTGCATGGGAAGAATCATGGACGAGATAAATAAGTTTACATGGATTTTTCTCCGCAATCTTTGTTAGGCGTCAGTGCATGGTCAGATTGGAGTAACTGGAGTTCCTGCAGTCAGAGCTGTGGGGTTAGCTTACGAATACGCACTCGCGATTGCTCCAATCCCCCTCCAACAACTCCAGAAAGTTTCTGCAAAGGTGAAAATTTCGAGATAGAGACTTGCAGCACGACTGGATGTGTGGGTAAGACATAAGTTTTTTCATTGTATTTCTTTACTTTAAATCATATATGAGCAGCGCAAACTTTGAGGTTCATTCGTTTTCATTGTTTTCAGTGCCTACAACCATGCCAGCACCGACAACGACGCCTGCGGGTAAGAAAGAAATATTTTTTAAGCAATAACTAAAGTAGCGATGATGATTATGATCATTATTATTACGATGATGATGATTTTGTTGTTTATGATGATGATGATGACGATGACGATGCTGATGATTATTATTCAACACAACTGGATACACAACAAAATCAGTCTGAAGTGCATACAATTCTAGTTAACCAGAACATCCCCAATATGTCCTGTGCAAAGATTGTTATATCTAGATCATGAGATTTTTTTCGTTTTGTTTTCAGCTTCTACAACCACCTCAACGCCGACTACCACTCCGCCAGGTAAGAATTCCGTATATCCCCTATTAAGGCCCTCAGAGGCGGGGGGGGGGGGCCTTAGGGGGGGTATTTTTGTTTTAAGCGGGGTTTTGGGGGGTTCAAGAGGGGGGGGGGTAACATTGAAGCACAACAAACTCCCGACATTGTTTTGTTAAATTTGTTTTTTTTTTTAGATTGGTGTTTTTTTTTTTTTTTTTTTCCCTCCCCCCCCCCCCCCCGCCCCCCCCCCCCCCCCGCGGGGGGAAGGATTTCCCTGCACCCCGTGGGGGGGGCGGGGGGGGGGGGGGGGGGGGGGGGGACTTAGGGGGGTTATATTTGTTGTAAGCAGGTTTTTGGGTGTCTCAATAGAGAGGGGGCTTATTTAATGTAGCTGTGACGATGATGACAATTTTGCATTCCAGCACGAGAATAAACTACTTTTTACCGAAACAGTCCACAAGAAATGTTATAGTCGTGATTAATTGATAAAGTGTAACATTTTAGATTAAGAGGGGAGAGGAGAGGGACTTTTCTCTGAAAAGAGAGGACTTATTAGAGGGGCTAATAATAGAAGATTAACGGTGAACAGAAATGCGAACTGATAGCCAGTTTGTTAGAACAGGAAAGAGATTATTATTAACCAATAACAGCAACATTGATGATAGCGATGATTATAATGATGATGATGATGACGTTGATGATGATTATGATGATCTTTATGGTTATCATCATCATTAATTACTATCGTTATCATCATCATCATTGTTGGATTCGGCATGGATCCGTCTTTTGTGTTCGCCCTTCGTCGTGATTATATGGCAAAATGGTAAATACGGCTGATGCTTAAAACAAACAAATCATCGTCGAGTATCTGTGCTGGCCATGTTACAAGCATGGATGAGGGCTCAAACTCGGGTGTACGAGGGGAAAAAATCCACTTTTATAGGGCGGAACACAAACTCCGGGATCTTCGCAGTGCAAGTCCAGTTCTCTGGCCACTTGATCCGGGCACGTTAGTCAGGCCCAATGAAGTGGCTGGGATTAAGATTGGCACGATTGAGCGCTGATAAAGCCACAATTTTGTAGTCACTTGTCAAGGGACACACACCACGGTTATGTAACCCTCATGGAGCTTTGTTAGTCTCGTGGCCAGCATTTATGCAATTTAATCTCTTAGAACAAAATAAAGCGTTTACATAAGAAGATCCACAAGATCCTTCTTGGAACACTGATATGGCCGCCGTGACGTCATATGAAAATTGAACATCCTATATTGCTAATCTGAATTTGACCGGAAACGGCCCGGATCCGCGCCTGTTGAGCGAGATTTTTTGGCCAATCAGAGTCGAATCAGAGAGCGTATAAATGGAGATCCATACGCTTTACTGACTGAACTAACACACCATCAGAAAGAGAAAAGATCTGTAATTGTATGTTACCTAAGTTAATGTTATCTGAGTCAGTAATATTTTTCGGTGTTTTTTTTAATGGTTTTCCTGTACGTCAGCGATGACAACAGAGGCAGCAACGACTTTGACTCCGGTGACGGACACGCCATCGCCTCTTAACGGAGCAGGTAACTATTAGCACGTTTCAAGCCCCACCCGTTTCTCAATATTCCCAGTAACTTAACGGGCCCCAAGAGCTACATCCAGTCAATCAAAGTATAAGGAATAATGGTGCGGTTTCTAGCTAAGAAGTCCATTCTTGCAATGCAAGAACAGTCTTAAGTTGAATTTTATAGTTTTCTTGCATTGCATTCAAACCCATCAAAACTGCAAATTTACAAGCAAGCATAAAACAGCTTTCCAGGCCCGGGAATTATTCGGACCTTCTTGATGAAGGCAAGGCTAGGGAAAGTACAGTAATGCTTAGAAACCTCAGGAAAACACCTAGCCATCATATTCATCATTATAGAGTTTGGACAGTGAAAATTTCGATCGTGTCGACCTTGCCAGGCTTCACATCTAGTATTACTTTACTTATATTATGAAAATTTATATCAGAAAACTCAAGTTCTTTTTACTTCCTAAGAAGAAACACCCGTAATAGTGATAGTTAACAAACAAGGTCTTCATAGGTGCAGATAATTGTAAAAAATATCCTCTAGTTACGCTTTTTTCCATGTTTTTCCTGTTTGAATGAAGGGTTGAGTATACGTAACTATTTTAGAGCTCGATGGACCTAGCACAATTGATTAGGAGAGTGCCCCACTGACGACACTGATGAAAAAAAAACCTGTCATGTTTAGTCCTGAACATTTCTTTTTTCTCGAAAAGATGCAGCCTGTTTGAAAGCCCACAATGATAAGCGTTCTGTTCATGGATCCCCACGGCTGACTTGGAATGCTACACTTGCTGAGCATGCGCAGTATTGGGCTCATGAGTTGGTTCGGCTGGGTAGCCTGATGCATCAGCAGGGTATCAGTGAAGGCGAAAACTTGTTCAAGTCATCTGGTCAAACTGAAAAGACATGTGTAGATGCCGTGCGAGCATGGTAGGTTATCTAGACTGCAGTTCACAGCTCCCTATTTTTTCGTATGATCGTCAGGATCGAGCTCGTACCGGTACGGGCGGTCACCTTGGTTTTACATGTACCGAGGGGGCAGGCGTCGGGTGTTAAAGCGAACGCCCCCTAAGTAGCTACATTTGGCACTCATCCAAGATGGCCGCTCGTAACGTACGCAGCGCTCGATCTCAAGGATCTTACGGAAGAATAGGCGACTGTGAACAGTCTACGATAATGCAGATACCACTGACATTCAAATAAGTGACCGGTCGTGCTTATATGAAAGTTGAATTAGGCGAGTTAAGGCGGTAAATGCTGCTGTTGTTTAAACCTTCTCAGGTTATTGACATATAATTATTTATATATAAACACTAAGAAAGGCAAAACCCTAGCGACAAACCAAACAGGATTGCCGGATCGTGTGATCCCTGTGGCAAGAAGAGCGAGAGAAAAGAAAAGAAAAAATAATCAAAGGGTAAAGACTATTTGCTTGGAATTTTGCTTTACAGACCGAAACCTCCTACTGGAGCTAAAAAAGAAAAAATTGATACAATTAAGATGAACGTTGCATGTGCGTGAATAGAAGAATAGCGAACGTAACAGAAATTGATAGCTACAAAAAATTCAAATGTAACAAAAAACAACTAAGACCGAATCCCTTTGTTATTACGTATCCAGCTCTTCCTAACTTTTCCACTAAAATAAAGGCATTCTAAATTATCAAGTTCCAGAAAACAAATATTCTTGTCCCTAACCATCTTTACTTATAAATAACCTGAGATCAGGCCCAATTTTAGCGGTTCTCATACAAAGCGAAACGAAAATTGAGCCTGATCTCGGGTTACTTATAAACGACGTCCCAACATGAGGGACGAGAGAGATTTTTAAAGGGGGGGAGGGGGAGGGCGCTTTTTCCAAATTTAGGCTTACAGTCAGTGGGGTTTGTTGGGAACGTCGATGATCCCAGGTTTGAAAACTAAATGACCTACTTACTGCACATACCCTTTATCATTTGCTACCGAATAAATAAGCCTTAACATATGTATTTGGCGTTTAAGGTATGGCGAAATTGCGCAATATGCTTTCAACAACCCTGGCTTTTCCGCGTCAACTGGACATTTCACACAGGTAAGAAATAGCGCCTGCTATTTCATGGCGAGCACACTAATAATCGACTTAAAGCCTGTTTACATGGAGGTGGGGGACCCCAGGTGACCCCAGGAAGGTGAGGTAACCCGCTTACTTTAGATAACCCACCTGTCCATATAATCTCTCATTTTAATTTGATCACATCTACATGAAAGGTGGGGTGACCATATGAGAGATTATATGGACAGGCGGGTTACCTCACTTACCTGGGGTCTCCTACCTCTATGTAAAAAGATCCCTAAGGCGAGTACATTCACGTTTACCTTGCGAGCAGAAGTTTCTCTCTTGCATGGCTTTTATCATGTACGAAGTCGTTAGCGTGGCTTTTCTGTCGCGTGGTTAGTTTGTTTACGCCCCGTTTCTCTGGGAACGTCGCTACGTAAACGATAAAAGCCATGCAAGAGAGAAACCTCAGAACTTTGGCACAGATGAGATAACATCTGCGATTGCCGAAGGCGCCAGCCACTTAGGAGGTCCGAGGTATTCCCCCAGGATTTTTGAAATCCAGTTATCTTTGAAACGCTGACTTGTTTGGCCGGGGATTATTTTTCAAGTTAAACGGTTTTATTATTTTGTGTCAAAATCTAGACGATTCCTTACTTTTTGCTAGCTATACGTCCCTGGACCATCGCAAGCACTCTTCTTATACGAGGGCGCTGTGCTATTCAGAAGTTCACTGGACGAAATCTCCCACTTCTCTTGCGGTCAATTTTTTCCTCTTTTAAATTACTATTCTGGTTGCGCAATGTTTAATTTATTCAGTCGATGGCCTATGCTTAAGATATCTTCGTGCTTTATGAATGAATGACAATAGCTTTTCATTCATATATTAGGTTGTTTGGAAGGCTACGACACAAGTGGGAGTAGCTACCATTACGGAATTTCACCCTGAGACGGGAAATCTCGACACCTACGTAGTGGCTCGCTATACTCCAGCAGGAAATGTGTTAGGAAAGTTTGAACAAAACGTACTCCCAACAAGCATTATCGAAAACAACATCGACAACTCTGCTTAGGGTAAGAATGTTTAGTAAGTGTCTTATGTCACGTAAAGGGACTGTGTCACGGTTCATGGAAAAGTTCATTTTGTTAATAATGCCAGTTACGGGTCTTTTTTCGCTATCAAACTTGAAAAATTACTTGTAAATGGCAAATTTACAGCTTCCTCTGAAACAAATATGTCTCTCAGGCCTTCAGTATCAAGTACACTCGAAAAAAATGAACTTTGAAAAACTGTTAGGCTCGTTAGCAAGTTTTCAAAAACCGCAATTGTAATCCGTTTCAGTCTTCTTCAAGTTTATCCATCCACCACTCTCTTTTAATTTGCATTGTTGATTATACCTTGTTTTAAATTTTTGAGCAGTTATTTAAATGTTTCACTCAGTTCAATGACCTTTCCCACTGTCTGAATTTTGATAAATTTCTGATGACATAGCACCCTAAGACGAGCCAGTCTGGGTCATAAACTGTTGCGGTAAATTGTGCCATAGGACTACTTTGATTTTTTGACTGGTCGATTGGAATTTAGGCCAGAACCTGAGTAAACTTCATCCAGTAGACAGTCCCACGTGACAATCCAACAAAACCCGACCCAGTCCAATGCGCAACCACAAAATGGCAAGGCCTGGGGCCTAGGTTGAATGACCAATAGGGATTCAGGTTTAAAAAAAAATGGATCACTGAATTTGCATTTGAGGCGCGCCTGCCCTCTACTTTATAACAAAAGTTTGCTGTTGCCTCCTGACAAGAGAGAATGAGGTAAGAGAGCGAATCCCTGTGCCCCATGATAATTATTTTCAGTCTTTTTTTAGTTCGCGCCATGCTGCGAGGGTTATTTTTGAATTCTGTTCCCATGAGCTCATTCTCTCTTGCTCCTGATTGAAACCAAAAGTTTGGTATTTGTTCTTTTTTGTTCTCAAATGGCTCTGCATGTTTTTTTGGTTTTTTCAATATTCTACTAACATAGGCCAGCACACAGTGACCTCTTTCAGATACTTTTCTTTTCTAGTTAAAACATAGCTTTTGTTTTGTTCAATTTCTGAATTGTATCTTTCTCTTATTCTAGGATGAAGAACTTAATTCTCAGGATTAGTCTGAAGTACCGGTAACCATGACTTTCCTGTTGCCAGTGAATAAGTGACTATCGCGTAAAATGAGTGATCGTTTGCCCGTTTTAATATAAATTCATAAAAATATGTAGGAGAATATTGATAGATTGGTAATATTGTCAGTAAATTGCCGCGATGGATATTCACTTTTATTAAAAACTGAATCATTGGATAATACAATACTAGAGCTCTGACTGGCTTAGCCATCATGGTATATGAGCCATCATACCATGCTCTCCAAATATGGTAACTGTACGAGTCTGCTCAAAATTAAAAACAAGCTGAAAATCGGTTATTATTACAAATAAAGTCGGGAAGAATTCTCTATATTTTGTGGATGTGAGATTATTATTGCCAATTCGGCGCTACGCATCTCGTTTGCCATCTACCATCTCATATCCAGGGCGCACTCGTGGAATAATTGTTAAATATAGTCAAAATAAATAATCTTTACTTTTCGTTCCTTTGAGCGTGAAGGCGAATCAATTTGAGCGTTTTGAGTGCTCTAATACGTGAACGTTTACCTGGGTCAACGTTTTCACAGTTTGTATGGGTCCCATGTGGGAACACCAAAAGCACGTCACTATGAAGAATAACTGGAGCTTCAAGGTAAAAATTAATGCCGATGTATTTTTTATTTTTTGTCAGGATTCATAACGGTGAGAATTTTTAAGCTGGAAACGAAGTCGCACCAAATAGCATCGTAGTTTTAATTTATTCTTATAGTGACGTGAATTAATTCATAATTCTTGTTAACTGAAAATGAAACTACAGTAGGTTATGTTCTTTTTGGGTGAAGGTTTTGCCTGAGGTTAAGGTTTTAGGGAAACTAAAATATCGAGCGCGCTAGTTACCGCCGATTTCGTGGCCGTGGCATGATAGGCGCCATTGGGATCAGTAATGTGCTCGCGGTTGTCAGTCACTAGCACTGTCCTCCCAATCTGGCTTGCAACAAGGGAAATAGGAGAAGATTGCAGGCAGGCTACACCCGAAAAGCGTTCGCTTAGGAGAGTGTTGCAAGGATCGTTACCGAATAAAGGCAACGTGAAGTAAAGTAAAGTAAAACTTTATGTCAACGGGGTGGCCCATTTAGCTCAAGGGCTGGTTTCCATAAGGGCCCTACGTCTTAAAATTAGTTAATTCGAAATTAGATTCAAAAACCTTAAAAACAATCAAAAATACATTTTAAAAAGCCTAAAATGTTATAAAATTTCAAGGAAATGTCTTTAAAAGTTACGATAAAAAAAATGCCTTTTTCGGCTGCACAAAGTCTCTATGCTTTCGGCGTTTGCTTAATAGTTCACGGAATTTCTTTAAAAATTTGCGCTCCAGTAAAAAGAAAGGTCCTTTTCCCATAATTTTGTTTAACCTTTGGTAGAGATAGCCCCATACTCTGCCTTGTAGTGTATACGTAGTTATAAATGTTCGGCGAAAACCTTTTAGCTAGTAAAATATGATAAAAAATAGCTTGGAACTAATGAATAAAGACAGAGAAATAAAAGTTCAGCCTTTTGGTAAGAGTGTCTCTGCCAGAAAAGTCGGCCAGTAACAAGAGCATGAGTGATCATTAGCATATTGTATTTTATCGCGGATTAGAGACGGCATAATTTGGTCGTTAGACTTGAGAATTAAGCTTTATCGGGTGAATTAAGGAATGGGTCCCGGAAAATTTGTAGGGGGTGATCTGGTTCAAAGAGGATTAAACCTTTGTAGGCCTCGCCAAATTTAAAAAAGGATATTGGTTTCATTTTGAATGATGGATTTTCTTGGACATGTAACTCTCCACACCCCTTTTTTTGCTATTTATTTTGGTCCAAATATACAGCGTTTTAAAGATTCCATTTTTTATTTTATTTTTTTTTGCCTTTTTGACTATAAGTACAAAGTTTATAGAGTTAATCGGGGTTTTCGAAAATTATTCGGTTTTCTGTAAATTGTAACCGTTTCATTTTCGATAGAGACTGGGGAATAAAGTATTTTAAAATTCCCCGATAAAAACAAAATGGAGAACTTAAAGGTTTGTACATGTGGTGTTATTCTAAAATTTAAAATTTTGCAGTAATTATGAGCGTGGCTAGTAACGTGACTTCAAAAGGTGCACTCTCCACACCAAAATTAGTTCCTTTCATCCGGCCATAGTTATAACGATAATGGGAGTGCGAAAAAAATATATAAAACAAGAAAAATAAAGGTAAAAGCCAGATATCAGTAGGAGCCATTCCTTGATGCACAGGAGTGTAGTTGGCGACACCTGCAAAAATGTAGCCACTGTACAGGTGAATTGAAATTCACTCTCCCCACCAGTTCAGTACGGTACAGAGAAAAAGGGTTTGGAAGTTTTGTCTTTCGATTTGTTGAGCTATAAACGCTTGGCGAATATCGAAGTAACAATTCATTTGACTATATAAATGGCAAAACAAGCAAAAACGAGAGCTCTGGGGACGAGAATGGGCCGACTGCTGGCTACTTACATGCCACGCATGCTTATTAACTACCTGGAGATTAAGATTGCGGGCTCCTCTCGTCGCCCTTGTCGCCTATAAATTTTTAAACTGAATCTTTCTTATGTCGACGATGTAATTTTCTTTTTTCTGATTCGTACATTTTTATTCTTACTAGTTTTAAGAGGTTATAGAATTTAGTCCTTGTTATATTTTATATCTTCTTTAACAATTAG